CCTCCGTGTTTACGTCACATCGCTTTCTGACTGGCTACAAGTCTCATTCACAGGGTGAGAGCTCGGGTGAACACTACACACACTGTGATATTGGGCCAAAAAATCAAACGTTGAATATCCCCGATTTGAGCTCGGAGCWGTCCCGACATCCTTCCAAACCGACTACATCACTCTTAACTCACCACCCATGGCAGGAATATCTGCTATAACTATCTTTAGAACCATTATGATAATCTGGACTTTCTTTGGATTGTCGGAAGGGCAAAAATCGGCCTGATTTTCTTGTAGTGTGACTCAGGCCTTACCTGCAGCCCTGCCATATTGGGAAGTGGGAATTTCCCACTTACAAGTTTTAAATTTTAACTGGAACATCCCTTCAGTGGGAATTCCCTGTTGGAAAGTGGGAGTGTTCAGAATTCAAGATGACTGCTACTCACCAAAACTCAACAGTTTACTTTTACTTCTAATAGTATTTCTGCATATTTATTTCACATTTARTCAGTCGTACACATAGTACTTTTCATTGTTTATAAGAGGATGTGTTTAAGCATTGTTTCTATGCAGGAAATACCACATAGAGCTCAGTTATTGTTAGTGGTGCTCAGCCGAAACACTTAGTCAAGGGATGTGATGTTTTGTGTTTAGTTGAAGTTAAACATGAAACATTGACATTCATTACATCTGGACACCYCTGTCTTACAAGTAAATATGGGCAGAGGTCTAAAAATGGTGACTCACATCATTTAAAGTTCATTATATGATCAAAAATGTAAAATAAATCTGGAAAATCTCTGCACACAAAGACAGGTTTACAGTGTTCTGTGGAAAATTTGCAAATCATTACTTTCTGCCTTTATTCATGACTTTTTCAGAGCTGGGATTAGAACTGCACAGACAGTATTTACTGAGATATGTCTTCAGCAGTTCGTTGTCTGTGGACGTTTAATAAAACTGGATGAAAACCTCTAACACTGTGTTTGTGGAAGTGAACTTGGAGCTGCGTGAGGAAGCTGCTGGAGGTGGACTGGTGTCCAGAAGGTCACGGGTTCAGCTGGTTGGATGAGCTAACAGGGCGAGGTGAGTCACGCTCTCACCCAAGCTCTGCTGAGCTGTTCCTCTAAAGCTGCCTGACCCAAAAACAAACTGACCACTGAATACTAAAGATTTGTCTCATATTGTCCTCTGCTGTCATCCACTTGTCCATGTCTGTGTTTCTGTCTGTCTGTTAGCAAAATATCTCCATTTACCGCCACAGTTAATGAAATGAATAAACAAAAATAATCACAATGCAGTCAGTTTCCAAGGTCTTGGGCTCAAATTTGTTATGATTGTAGCTGAGGGTCATCCCCAACATGCAGTCCGAGCTCTAGGAGGTCACAAGYCTTCAGTTAAAATTTTGACCCGGGTGGCGAGTGACATGAATTCCTTCAAGGAAAGGAAAAGTTGTAAATAAGTAATTAGCTCCAGAGTGGATCGTACAGCTGCTCCAAAACACAGCAGACATCTGCTGAAGCTGGAAAACAGGTGCTGATCAACGTCCACCTGCTCTGCCACATGTTCAGCASACACCAGAGGCTTTTCCCCTGTGTGTATGTGTGTGCGCGCGCACGCATGTGAGTGTGTGTGTGTGTGTGCACTGATCCGTGTGAAGGTGTGCAACAAGGGGTGAAAAGCAGGAGACAGCTGGAAAAAAATCCCATCCGTCTCCTCTCCACCTGATTTACGCAGCATGGCTCTTCACACACACACACACACACACTCTCCCCCTTTCTCTGTAAGAGCATCGATCCAGAACCAAACACTCCAGAGGAAGCTGGTGTGCCTTTGAGATGGCCTTGGTACTCGTAGAATTAGATGAAGGCTTATTATCTTAACCTCTCTCTTACACACACACACACACACACACACACACACACACACACACTTTCCTCCTCAAAGAGCTCCTGAAATGTAATCCTAAAAAAACACCTCCAAGTTCCGTCTCAAACAGCCTTTAAAGGGAACTCCGACTAGTTGTAACGTTTTATTATTTGAGAAACATTTACTTCAACTGTGAAACAAAGACTGTAAAAACACTGTTCAGTTTTTATGCTGTTTAAAGAATGTCATACAGATRACTACATGTTATTTAAGCCACAAAGCTTTCTGTGTAATTGATGACGTTCAGGTTCTCCGCCGGTGCGAGGCTGCCATCGAGCTCCATCCACCCTGAAGCAGGAGTGATTGGCCACACCTATGCCACCCCTTGCAAAAATGTCGAGCTATGCCCCTGCCCTGAAGGTTAATCTTGGACAATATCTGACGATCAGTCCTTTTAAATGAAACAGAGAGAGTTGACAGAGAGGAGAAATGACTTAGCTTGTAACTAGTGATGATGGAGGACAACAGAGCTGCTTCATGGAAGCAGATCCTCAGCTTAGCAGGATGACTGATAATGCTATACAGCCATGTGTGTTTTAAATGTTTATATGTTTAATCCTTTGCCTTAAAATAAAAAAAAACATTCATCATCTTCGTTTTCCTGTTTCATTTGTTGACAACGTAATGAATTCTGGGATACCGTCAGCTGCGTACTCAGATGCAGCCCATGTTTTCGGGGTTTTTGTCGGCTGCATGATAGGCGCCTGCAGATTGGGACAGCATGCGGCGTGGGCTAGTGACGTAAACCGACAAATGCACCTGATGTCAGCTGCAAACATGACGTGAGACACAGCCTACATCGGCATTATTTCAAGTGCTATAATACCATAGCACAGGGCTATTCAACTGGCGGCCCGCGGGCCACATCCAGCCTGCGAGTGACCAAAGTTCGGCCCGTCAGTTGGTTCATTTATGTCTTAAACCYGACACGTTCTCACTCCCGACTCGTCACATATTGATGCTTTGATGCTTAATCAGGTATCGTCTGTGTCCAGTTTTGTTGCGTCGGGTATCCCCTCTMATCAGTTATTCATGCCCACGGCTTTTCCAGGTTGTGCCACATAGGGGTCTTTGGGTTGGGGGTCTGTGGTTAATATAAGGGATCAGGGTTAATGGTTAATTTTAGGTAGTGAGGTCAGGGATAGGCTGTATAGGACTAATAGAAGTTCAATTTAGGGCAGGGGGCAGGGGAGTCAAACATTTTCCCTGGGAGGGCCAAAATGAAAATCAATCTGAAGGCTGTGGGCCAAATGCAATAATATAATAAATGGAATGCAAATACTTAATAAGTAAAGATGTTTTATTTTTTCATGATCAAGATAGCAGTCAGTGTGGTGGCCCACATTATTTTGTTTGTTATTTTTTGTTAGCCAATGGACATGCAGAAAATTTCATGTTCACTCGAGCAGCAAAGGCTCATGGGGCTTTTCATAAATTAAAATTTGAGTATTTGTCGTCTTAGTATGCAGATCTAGGTGCGTGCTTAAATCTAATTTAAATGTCTCTTGTAGTTACAGTATTTATATTTTATGCTTAATCTTTAATGTTATTCTATGATACAGGAAGTGCCGTGAGTTAARACTATCTGCACCACAGCTCTTTCTATAGTTGGACCAATGGTTGGACTGACTAAGTGGAAATGTAGTGTTTCTACATTAAAGAGGAGAATACATCCTAGTAGCAGGACAACTGCTGGTAGGCCACATCAAATGGCTTGGTGGGCCAATTTTGGCCCGCAGGCCCCACTTTGGGCACCTCTGATTTAGGGTCTGGGATGGTTAGTTGTTGTGCATTTCCTACTCTTTTCAAAAATATGACAACACACTCCTCCTGCTCCAGCTCATCTCGCTAATAACTGATGCGAGGGGGGTACCTGACTCGTCCAAAACTGGACGCAGCCAGAACCTGACCCAGTGTCAATATGTGACGAGTTGGCAATGGGTTAGTTTAACTAAAAGACTTTAGAGTAATTAAAGTAGAAAACTAAACATAGTTTGGTATTTACAGAAATGTCTGAATCTTGGCTAGAAGCTGGTTTAAACCATTTCTGTGAACACTCAAGACAGTAAAAAGACAAGCAGTTGAAGATAAAACCATGAAAGTGAAAATAAAAGTGGTTTAAAATTTTGGCAAGTTAGAGATATTAAAATATTTGTGGTAAATAGGAGGAAGAATGTGTTCTCCTTGTTTTTGATACTGTTTAATTATCACTATTTCTGTTTGTTATATGATCAAATGCAGCAAAATAAATGAATTCAAAGGTAACATATCTTTGTAATACTTGGTTTATTTACATAATGACGCTAATTTCTGGATGTTCGGCCCCTCAGCTGTTGACCTGCAGTAACTGTGGCCCCTGCAGCACTTTAGTTGAATTGTCCTGCCATAGCCTACAGTTTGTATGGGTGCTTATGCTATATTTCCAAATATTTGTATTAGCTCAGACACTATGTATTAGCTCAAGCTCTAACACTATATCATCATATTATCTCAGGTGCTAAAGGCACTGAGCTGAGGTTCTTCTTCCATGAAGCAGCTCTGTTGTCCTCATCAGTCATTTTCTCTTAAAACCCTCTGGTTTCGTTTTAAACTGCTGATGTTGTCCTCAAAGAGGCAGATACTGTATTATAAAATAAAATATTTTTCTTTTCTCTGCACTCTATTCATTCAATAATTGATTTACTTTGTTTCTTTAATGTACTTTTTGTTATTTTATGAATGAAATAAATTGGAAATTAAATGTAAATTAACCTTCAGGATGGAGCAGCACCATGCTTTGCACCGTAAATAACATGGCGCCTTCCTTCCCTATGGCAATAATATATTTTTAAGATTTATAAAAACTAAACAGCCTGAAGTGTTTGCAGTTTTTTGTGTTTGTATAGGTGAAGTAAATGTTTATGAAATAATGTCTAATGTTACAACAAGTCGGGGTTCCTTTTAAGGTTCAGGTTTACTTTAAATCTTTTTTCCCCTGTTGGTTTAATGAAATATGAAAACAAGTAAAAGACTAAAAGAAAAGGTCTCGCCACCTTCCCACTCTGCGTGAAAGCAGCGCGCCGGAGGAGGGGGCGGCTCGGTGGGTTTATCTGAGAGGAGCGCAGCGCGCTGAGTGCTGCGGCTCCACTCCTGCCACACAGCCCCGCACACATGACACTTTTCCACAACCACACTCTGGATTTTAGGATTATTTTCACATTTTTGTTATGATTATTTTCACTGAAGGAAGTTGCCTTCGTCGGGACGGAGCTCTTCTGATGCGTCAGGTTTGGAAATCCGAGACGGAACCGCGCGTTCTGGATGGACTCTGCTTCCACCAGAGGGCTGGATGTGAATTTATTCCCACATTCTTTTAGCCCGGGAGGCGCGCGCGCGGCCGGGATGGATTCCTTTAACGGCAGCGGGGTGATGGTGCACCTGAACTCCTCCAGGAGCCAGGACGGCTTTTATTCCTCCGCAGCCACCGCCGGGATCGCGGCTCTCGTGAGTTTCCTGATCGTCTTCACGGTGGTGGGCAACACTCTGGTGGTGATCGCGGTGCTGACCAGCAGGGCGCTGAAAGCCCCGCAGAACCTGTTCCTGGTGTCCCTGGCCACGGCGGACATCCTGGTGGCCACCCTGGTGATGCCCTTCTCCCTGGCCAATGAGCTCATGGGTTACTGGTATTTTGGGAAAGTTTGGTGCGGGATCTATCTGGCCCTGGACGTGCTGTTCTGCACCTCGTCCATCGTGCACCTGTGCGCCATCAGCCTGGACCGCTACTGGTCCGTGACACAGGCGGTGGAGTACAACCTGAAGCGGACCCCGAGGCGCATCAAGTGCATCATCCTGGTCGTGTGGCTCATCTCCGCCTTCATCTCGTCCCCCCCGCTCCTGTCCGTGGAGGGCAACACGGACCCGACCCCCCAGCCTCAGTGCCAGCTGAACGATGACACCTGGTACATCCTCTCCTCCAGCACCGCCTCCTTCTTCGCCCCCTGCCTCATCATGGTCCTGGTCTACATCAGAATCTACCAGGTGGCCAAAACCAGAACCAGGAGCATGTCCGGGAAGCAGCCCAGACCAGAGGGCGCCAACCAGACCGAGAACGGACTGAGCAAAGCCTCCTCGCCTTTCCACGGGGACACGGAGAACGGGCACTGCCACTGCCCGCCCACCCCCAGCCAGCGCACGGTCACCGTGGGCCAGCAGACCGAGGAGGCCGACCTGGAGGAGAGCTCCTCCTCAGAGGGCAAAGGTCACAAAGCCCAGCGCCAGGACTCTCAAAGGGCCAGGAGGCCCAGCCAGAGGAGAAGCTCCCTGTGCAAACACACCAGGGTCAGCAACAAGTCCATGGACCTGTTCGCCTCCAGGAGGAGGCGCCGCCGGAGCTCCTTCGCCCGGAAGAAGATCTCCCAGGCCCGAGAGAAGAGGTTCACCTTCGTCCTGGCTGTGGTGATGGGGGTGTTCGTCGTGTGCTGGTTCCCCTTCTTCTTCAGCTACAGTCTGTATGGGGTGTGCGGGGACTCCTGTAAGATCCCAGACCCGCTCTTTAAGTTCTTCTTCTGGATCGGGTACTGCAACAGCTCCCTGAACCCGGCCATCTACACCATCTTCAACAGGGACTTCAGGAGGGCCTTTCAGAAGATCCTCTGCAAGTCCTGGAAGAAGTCMTTTTAGGTGACCGCCCATGAGACCTGCAGGGGTTAAAATTCAGCAAACTGAGTCTTTGCTGGACAGGGGCGGAGCTAGACTTTTTTTGAAAGGGGTGGAAGGGGTGGCCAAGGTGGTTTTTAGGTGGGCACATACAAATAAATTCTAGTCACTCATTATTAAGCGTTTTTKCAACATACAAACCTGAAAACTAAAAACAACCAAAAAATAAATAAAAAAAAACAACCTTTACCCAGTTTTATATATAATCAAAAATTTAAGATGGCCTCCACAGCTAACTTTAAAAATCTATAATTCAATCATTTTAAGACTTATTTAGATTCAATTTGTCGTGGAGTAGCTAAGAATGATCACATGCCGATTGTCCATGTTAATCCCAAATTAAGCTAGATGCTTATGCTAATGCTAATGCTAGTTTTACAAAGGACTATAAATCAGCATTTTAAACGTTCACAGCTAAAACATTTAGCATCAGAGAATAATCTTTTACAGAGCCCGCGAGGGGACATGGGGGAATTTTTCTTTAGCATTCCCACACAATACCTTTTGTGTTCCCTTGCAGAAGTCGTTTATCTCTGTTGTGCCTGCCAGTTTATTAACAAGTTCACATGTTAACCATTAGCAAGATAGCCTACTGCTTTAATTCAGCTTCAGAATGAATATATCACACAGCCACACATGGAAGTATGTCATATGCCGATATTTTATCACAGTGCAGCCACACAACATCAGTGTCAATTTCACGAACTTGTGGCAACATATCCTGTTTTGGTAACCGGATATTTCAAAATAAAAGTCTGGTTTAATTCAGTTCATATACAAAACAAACTTTTGCGTGGGAACGCAAAACAATTTTGCGAGTTAACGCAATAGTATTGCGAGGTAACGCAAAGATATTGCGAGGTAACGCAATAGTATTGCGTGCGAACGCAAAAGAAAAAAATCCCCCATGTCTCCTCGCGGGCTCCATAATCTTTAACAAAATCTAAATGCAAATACTAAAATCTAAGATCCCCACCCGGCACCTGGAGTGGCCAGTCAGTTGCCACCCCAGCCACCCCTCTGGCTCCGCCCCTGCTGGTGAATATACAGCTGTGGTCAGRAGTTTGCATACACTCATTATGGGCTTTACTGGTTGATTTGAGCTCTTATTATTTCAGGGTGATTATATAACAGATGTGACTTTACTGTGCAACAAAATTACACATATAGACCCAAACACACATAAATTACATTAAATTGTTTAATAAGTGGTGATGATTGGCCTTTTAACTTCTGATTAGTGATCATGATTGACTGCAGCTAGTGTTTCTTCTTGCCAGCGTTAATGGATTTGTTCATCAGACAGATCATCTCTCAGTGTCAGCTAAAAAACAGTTAAAATTGAGATTCTAGGCCTTAATGACAAGAAGGTTTAGTACCAACTGTCAAGCATGGGGGTGGTAGCGTCATGCTGTGGTCCTTGGGGTATTCCAAAGTGAAAGGAAGAATCAAAAATGAGGTCTGCTTCCAATTTTTTTTTTTTACCTCAAATCTTGGAAATTCTCTTGTTTTTAAAGCTCAGAGCAGTTTTGCGGTGTTTAATCATCCAACCCTGGGAATAAAGGCTACAAATTTATCAATAAAAAACAAAAAAATACATCAAATTTAGCATACGATGAGTGCATTTAAACTTCTGACCAGTGTCCTGGAGTCTCCACAAGCTTAATGGTTTGTTTCTATCACTCGCTTCTTATAGATCATCTTGGTCTGATCATTATTTATTTCATTTCTCACAGAAGTGTGCTTTAACTGAGCATTATTAGTAAAAAAAAAAAAAAAGCTTCCACGAAATATCCACGAACTTCTCTGTTTGAGTGGGAAAATAAAATCAAATGAGCCATAAAATCTCACTCAGTTGGTTCTTTTCTGCTGTGTTGTTCATTAAACCACATTTGTGGTTTCATTGAATTTATCRTTCAGTTAGCAGAGAATTACAAGCAGAATTACTATCAAGATGGTGTCCTGATTTGGATCAGCAGCTTGGCATTTTGGGAAATATAATTATTTGCTTTATATTTGAGGAAATGTGGGATTATTACAGCGCAGAAATAACAAATGATCATCAGAAATAAATAGCGTTAAACAGATTGTCTGAACACATTTTATGTATTTTGGATTATCTGTGGAAAGAGTGACATCATTTTTTTAAACTGACTAGTTAGAGCAGGGTGGGCCTGTGGCATAGGCAGTGTAGGCAAAGACTAATGGTGCGTTCACACCGAACGCGATTTCAGCTTCAAAATCGCAGCCAACGCTGAAGTTTGAAGCTTGTGCACTTTGAGGTCAGACGCAGGACAGCTGCGCTGCACGGCGACAGCCGCCCCGCGACAGCCGCCCCGCCCCTCCCTCCTCTGTGGGGCTGTTTAATGTCGGACGAGGAAGTGGCTTTGCTTTATTTACAGAGAGCAAGAGCATGTCACGTTCATCAGATAATTAATTCATAATTAATTCACCAGATAATTCAGAGCAGAGGCTCACAGCTCACTTTCAGGACTATTTTTCCAGTCTGATGAGTCGCTGTCACGCATTGCTGCGGATCAGGACACGACTGCAGGCACTCATTTCAGCTAAAGAGCACCTCTCTGTCTGTTTCAGGTTAGTGGACATCATTCAGTAAACTGTCCCGTCGGGAAATATGTCGCTACGTCACACAGTGGAGTCTCTCTGATTGGTTGACGCGGCGCGTCGAGCTGCAAAAGTTCAGATTTTCTAACTTCAGCGATTTGCGCCTCAGCACGTCGAACGCTCAGATCGTTCAAATCGCGCTGCTCTAATCGCGCTTGAGGCGCCGCAGAACTTCCCGACGTTGCTTGAAGCACGTCCACCATAGACTTTGCATGTAAACCTGCTGCTCCTGATGCTGAAATCGCGTTCGGTGTGAACGCACCATAAGGGCCCGTCCAGCTAGAGGGCACCACTAATGGGGGATGACATTTTTAAAATAATTTTCTGTCAGAAAAAATTTTGATTTAATTTGCAGAATATTCACTGGTTAGTCAAGTTATTGAAGGTATGTTTTGTTACTACATGAGGTGTTATACGGTGTTCTATATTTCACAAGAAAAGTATCGTATGATGCAGTCAAGACTAACTACCAGTGCTGAGTTTAAGGTCAGCTCAGATACAGATGATTTATTGATCCCTGAGCTCCTAAGTCAATAAAAAGTCAGACACATTTGTTGTTATTCCACACAGTTTTTTTTGTCATATTTCTGACAAGGGGTTCTTTCACATCAGGGTTGCTTGTTTTTAGTAAAACACTGGTGAATGAAGCAGACCAGCATAATAAGCTAACTTGTAAAAAGGTTCTGTCATACCTAACAGGGAAAGACCTGCTGTGGTGGCGACCCTTAGTGGTTTCATAGGGATACTGAACAGGAGTTTTTTTAAGTTATATATTTAAACACACATTAACATGAATGCACCATGTAGCTAATTGATTAATAAAGGGATTAAATAATATGTTTCAGTTAGAAATGCACACAGTCAGTGAGCACTTAGTAGGATGTCCTTGCTCTGTTTCTCCATCAGTTTGGGGGAAAACGTTGAAGAGACCCCTGCTTTAGATTATATCTTTCAGTTCAGGGGTCTCATTTATAAAAAATTGCRTGGAAACCATACTAAAAGTGAACGTACAGCCAAAAGGCAAAAATGGCSTACGCCAAAARAAATTCAGATTTATAAAACCGTGCGTACGCATGTTCCTGCGCATCTTTCCTTTATAAATCACAGCCACACGTCAGAGTTTGCGCACGAGGTCCCGCCTCAGGTTCTACCCTCTACACGCCCACACTCAACCATAAACAGTCAATGTAAAGTACCTCATGAATGTTAAGATGTATTTAAATCAGTCAGATGATCAATGATTGGTTCAGACACGCTCCGTCGTGTGTCTGGAGGATGACAGGTGTTGACTGACAGCTGCTCACGTGAACAGAATGTCTATAACTGACACAGATTTTCCCTCAGTTTGCTTTAGAGTAATCTAATGGTTTTTATTTAAAAAAAAATACTCAGCTTCAAATTAATTTTGTCACAGAGCCTGCAGGATGATAAAAAACAATAAAATTAAATTAAATAAGTCAGATAAAATTAGAARTAAGTYCACYGCTCTTCTCCTCGTCCTCTCCCCCTCCTGCCTGCTCTGTTATCCGCGGCAGACCCCCCCCCCCCCCCCCACCCCGCGCACACGTGTGACAAACACGGACTTTAAACGTGAAGTTTCATAACATCCACACTGGTGAGGTGGATGCGCCCTGCGCGTGTATCCAAAGCGTGACTTTTGCTGTCCTGCTGTTCTAGTCGGGGAGGGGTCTGTGGGTCAGCGAGGGGTCTGTGGGTCAGCGAGGGGTCTGTGGGTCAGGGTCATCTGAGGAGGAAGCAGATGAAGGGAGTTGCGCAAGGGAACTTTTATTTAAGATTTAAGTTTTTTTATTTCAAAGGTCCTCATGGCTCAGCAGCAGCAGCAGCATAAATATTACTGTTAAGAAAGCTGATGATAAAGCTGAATAAAAATCTAAGTCTGATGAAGGTAAATTAAATCTCTGACAGTGATCATTACACAGTGTGGCTCTAATTCCTCACTTCACCATCTGTGTCGCAGTTTCACGTCTCCAAAATGAGCGTACGCATGGGTCAAAGCTGGCTGAGGCACCGCACATTTTCACGTCAAGTTTGGATTTTATAAATCACAACCTTGGCGTAAAAAGTGGCGTACGCAAGTTTCTGGGCTCAAATTGTGCGTATGCCAGTTTTATAAATCCGACCCCAGATCTTTATATGGTCATTTGGTTGGATAGTAAATGTTACTTTAACAAGTAATGGGACAGAAAACATAAAGTTTTGATTGGGCATGATGAGAACAAAGCAGGTCGAGGCTGGAAAGATGTGGATGACAAAATAATGATGGATAAAAAATAATGTGCGCAGCCAACAATGCAGTTTTTCAAGGTTCCCTTGAAAAACTGCATTGCAAAGCAAAGCAAAGCAAGCATCTCCCAAAATGTCAAACTATTGTCTCATTTCAGATTAAATTTAATCTGATTTTGTACAAAAGAGAGTTTACAGCCAGTAAACGTGGACATCTTTTTAAACTTTGAGGACTCACAGCTGAGATTTCTGAGCTCTTTTGCTTCCTTTCCTTAAAAACTCAACTCATCAGTTACTCTTTATTTTCATCTTTATCTTACAGCCCTTCATTCATTTTGTGGTTGGGATCTGCAGACTAATATTTTTTTTACTTTATGCAAAGTTT